ACGAAAGAAGATTAAGTGTGGGTCGGTCGCTATCAGATATTAATATACCATCGTTCGGAATTCGAGGTTCTAAGCTTGTGGTATATTATCTTCCTTATAATTGATCGTCGTAGTTGAATAGAAAAATTGTTGTGCTCAAAAAAAAAAAAAAGATTTAGAATCAGGGAAAAGAAAGGGACAAAAAAAAATTGAAAGAAAGAAAAGAAAAAAAAACGAAAGATGAAGAAGAAATGGAGAAAGTCCAGCAGCTGCTGCAAGACTGCTTCAATGGTGGTGCCATGGTGGTCTACGGGATGAGTGGATGACAACTCATTTTTGTTCTTTTTCTTTTTTATTTATTTATTATTATTATTATTTTATTTTAAATATTAAAATATATAATGTAAGGGAGTGACCAATTTGCCCCTGCAAATCTCATGTGCAATACACGTGTAGTCATATTTCCGTCAAAATTACCGGAATATTCCTTTTAGGAGGCACCGTTCAATGAATTAACGAGTTCAGGTAAAAACGTGCAAATTTTTTTTGTTTGGGGGGCAAAGTGCAAAACGGGCTTTAATTTAGGGGGTAAACTGCTTTTTACTCATTAATTAATTAGTGGAAACTACTAGAGTAGTAGGGTACGTACGTGGATTAGCATGGTTCACGTAATTAGTTTCCCTAAACAATGATTAGTGTTCCTAACCAATGATTTAATTGGTCTGGGTAGTGGTAAAATCTATCTATCCAGCTGCTTACCATTATTAATTATTATTATTATTGATGATGAGGCAATCCTAATACAACTGTCATTCGTTGTTGGTCCGAATATTCTGACATCAATCTGAATTGCAACAATCGCCTTTGACTACAATCAACAATGATTATTGCTTGTTTAATCACTTTAATTTTATTACGGAAATTAACAGTGATATTGAACAGTATCATTGACTAAAAATAGGAAGTTATAAATTTGTTTAATAATAAATATCTGACATTTTAATCTGTCATTTCAAAATTTAGACAAGAGATTCTTCTAAAAAGAAAAAAAAAAGTTAGGCAACAGATTATATTAATAAACTAATATTAAATATTTATAGTTTAATTTGGACGTTAAGACTTGATTTCTTCAAGGATTAGGCTTCGTTCAACTTTATGAGATTTTTAACAGCATATTTAATTTAATTGAAAGGATGCAGCTTATGTTCTTTTTGAAAAGACTAACTAATTATTGTGGTTTAACTGCTAATCTCTTTGTGTTGTCTCATGAAATGAACACATGTAAATAACTTTAATAATAATAATCTTATATTTAAAAGAAAGAAGCGTTTGGCAATCCTAACAAACTCTAATGGTATTTCTGTAATTAAATATTTTTATTATTTCTTTCTCTACTAATTCCTAATTATAAATTTTAACAATTTCAAAATTATATTGAAACTAAACCGTAAAGAATCCCACCTAATGGTACTTCTGTAGGTATTTACTTTTAATATTTTTTGTCTACTAATTTCTAACTATAATTTTCAACAATTAGCAATTTCCTATTTTTCATCAATATATCTCCAATTTTAAGAGATATAGATAAAGATCCGATTTATTAAAATTAATGTTAAATAAAATATGATTATTACTGCATTATTAATTTTTACTATGTTAGTATACTACATTTACTTATTATGTATTAAATTAATTATTTTTTTCAGTGTTGAATAATATTCCCACAGGAAAAAAATGCTAGTAAGTTATAAGATAAGATACTAAAGCAACACTAAAAATATACTATGGATAAGACCTTGTTCACTGTACATAATGAAAAAAAAAATCTCTTATATTAAAAAAAAATATTACAATGGGATATAAGTAATTGATCTTAATATATTAACATAAGCATAATCAGTGGATTCCATTTTTCTCTAATGCGAATCAGAATCGAACACAAAACTAATAAGAAAGGTTAAAAAAAAATGGAGGAAAATAGAAATAAATAAAATAATAAAAGGGCAGGTAGCTAGCAGGTCAGGGTACGAAACAAAGAAGAAGCACAGTGTTGATGTAAGACAGATGGGTGTAAGGTGGGTCCCACTTCTGGTGCAGGGCGCGCGAAAACATCGCGGGTGCTGTTTCCCAATCCACACACACTACACTACACGCACTCAATTCAATTATATATCATTTTTTTTTTTTATAATTATTACAGTAACTTATACATACATCATGTGTAACTTTTTGTCAGTCTTCTCTCACTACTAACCCGGCCCACACACACACAGAAGACTTCTCTTTAATTTTGGCCCCTTCTCATTATCATATACATGGATCTCCACTAATTGTCTTAATTTTCTAGGGTTTGTGTTCTTATTTTTTCTTATTTATAAATGTGCATATAAGCTAGACTTATTCGCACTTTTATCCGGATAAAAATTAGTCTTACAAAAAAGTTCATTTACTTGTGATTTTTCGGCAATACTTTCAATTAAATACTAAAATTACGCAAATATACTGACTTCTTAGTCTAATTTCTCTTCCATCTTTCTCCAAGCTCCAAAATTGCTCGTCATTACTTTCAGAATTTCCACCGGTTTTTCTTCGCCAAATCAACTACCATCATCAGAAACATAAGCAAAATCACTCCAAATCTAAAAAATCACCCACATTGCGGTTTTGGACTATAAATTTTAAGACATCTACGCCAGTCTGAAACAAAATCTCTCCGGAGTCCTCAGATGTTACCATAACCTCCGCATCTATTTTACACTGTTATGTATATGTTATCCAGTTGATTATGAATCACTATCGTCTACGGCGTTCTAAGTTACTATCAAAGACTAAATAATACAGTCACCTGTTGGCAAAACCTAATTGAAAAAAGTTTGCGACTATTTTAAACCATAATCGAAAATTTATTTCTATTTTACTCTACAAATTTTTGTTTTGCGACATAAATAATGGGATTGTATATTTCTCTTTCATTATTAGGATTTTTTAATTCAATTTTTGGGTAAATGATTTTATAAAAAGTTAAATGTAAAAATAATGAAAATATAGAGAAAAGAAAAGAAGAAAAGCCGGCAAGGTTGGCATGTAGCCATGTGGTAGTGGAGGCCCAGCAAGCAGGCATTGAGAGACAGAAAATGGACTCTGTTTTTTTTAATTAGGGCCCACCCAACTTACATATACAATGCTCCAATCATACCACAAACTAAATTAAACATTATTATTAAAATTAACCAAATTAATTAATTAAAATGGTGGTGGTGGTAGTGGTGGTGTAGATGGTGGTGGGAGTCTATCAGCCGATGTGACGGCGGGCCACGGCCGCTTTAGAGGCGGCGGGTCCCGGCGGTGATTTCTTGCATTTCCCAAATGATTGTTGACAACAATATATGCAATTGCATTGCTCTCGCTCAACTATAAAATTAGTTGTAAATTATATTTATTTTATTAGTCAAATTATTAGGGAGAAAAATAGTGAAAAGATTCGTTTATGACGTCATCGATATCTTTATACTCGATTGATTCATTGAAAAACTTAGGTTAAGTTTATCAGCCTCATACGTCAAATCTTTATTTTCGTGATAAAGATGAATGTATATATATAACAAAAATATGTTCCTCTTTAACCTAACATCCTCTACAATTGCCTTGATTTGACTATCAAACTGAAAGCATATAAAATCCACCATGCATTACGATTAGGGTGGAAATTGGAATGAAATTTTCAAATTCCGGCAATTTCAATTTAAAAATATCTGAATTTAGAACTGTATTTTTCATTTCAATTTCCGAAGTTTTGGTATCCGATTTTTCCGAATTTATGTGGGACGGAATCCTATATAAACTACTAGCAATTCTGATTTCCGGTCCGATTTTTAGTTCCGATCGGGCCTTTGGGAACTACAACTCATTTTCCTTTAATTGGGCTTATAAATAACAATACTAGGCTGTTCTGGAAACTGGGCTCATTTCTTAAATGGGCTTAGTTCAAACGTCAAAATGCTAACGCTTGTCATGAAATTGAAATATATTTATTTTAGAGCTATAACTTTTACTCGCCGTTTTGGTGCATATGATCATATTTTATATTTACCAAAAGAATATATTCACACTATGTTAATTAAAAAAATATTTAATTGTTTATTATACTATTTTATGTTCTCACTCCGTCCCATATTATATGACCTGTTTTTGTTATTGCGAATATGTTAATTTCTTTTACTAAATATACATAAATTGTCGCATAAAATATAGAAATTATTAATCGACCCTTATGATTAATCGTTGATCGACTAACTAATCAAGGATGTTAAAATAGCAAAATTAAAAAAAAAAAAAATTAACAAATATTTTCATGCTAAAAAAACTCCCTAGAAGGACAAATATCTTCAACAATAGCCCTAGCAGCCGCTGTTTCCCGAACCTTTGACCGTATTTCAATTTCCACCACCTTTTAAATTTCCATTTTTACCCCTTCATAATTTTGACCAATCATTCACTATTCCACACAAATTTTCTCAAATAATAGTCATAAAACCCCAATAACTTCTAGATCCCTGTAATCATCCCACACCCTCGAATTCCGATATTACCCCTAAGATTATCGCCAACATCATGAATATTGTATTTTACTACTAGGTCTAATATTGTAATAATCATAATTCATAATAATAATAACGACAACATATATTTCCGCAACTTGATTAAATCGCACATGGTTAAGGTTAGTTGTTGTTGGGAGCCTGAATTCCATCATGAAAAATCACAGTCCAAAATATTGACTGATCAAATTTCCTTCCAACCCAAAAATTCCCAATTTACCCCTAATCTGAAACGAATATCAAATAGTTTAATCATTTTTATTTAATAATGCAAAAGCAAGGTCACTCACTAATGGCGCCCCTATTTCTTTAACTAAGATCTTCTCCCAAACCCCATTTGCTCACCCCTCACATAAACCGTTACATATATATATATTTATATATAATATTACATATGTTGAATGGGTTCGATGGAGATGGGTTTGGAGGAAACTAACTTGAGCAATCAGAGTACAATGGAAATGAAATTGAATCGGCAGATGAAGAAGAAGAAGAAGAAGACGAAGAGTAGGAATTTTTTGATTTCGAGATTAGGATGTTTCAGATTTGACGGCGGCGTTTCGACGGCGGAGACGCCGGACTCCGACGGCGGTTTCAGTGTTGAAGCCGGTTCCGGCGGGAGGAGGGATCACTCGCCGCCGACCCACCTCGTTGTTATGGTCAACGGAATTATTGGAAGGTCTGTCAACAAAACTGGCAATGCAATATTATAATTTCTTATTTTTTGTCACAATTTAATTTAATTTAATTTGTGATTTTGGTTATTTGATTATTAAGTTAATTATTATTGGGTGCAGTGCTCAAAATTGGAGGTATGTGGCTAAGCAATTCGTGAAGGCCTACCCAAATGATGTCATAGTACACTGTGAGCTCTCTTTTTTTTCGATTTTTTTTCGTTTGTGATTTTCGGAATGTATCGAATTGTTTTAGCCCTGCTTTTCGTGTCTGCGATCGAGTAATTGATTAATTAATAATTAATGTTCTTTTTAAGTAATGCTTAATGTTGTGTTCAGGTAGTGAATCTAATTCTTCAATGTTGACATTTGATGGTGTTGATGTTATGGGGAAGAGATTAGCCGATGAGGTTTGTTTGTAATTTCAATTTTTGACAAAAATCGAAACTTTTTAATTTTTTTGTTAATTTAATTACCAAATTAGAGTTTAAATTTGTGATGCCATATTCAAAATTTCAGGTGATTTGTGTTGTGGATAGTCATCCGAATCTTCGGAAGATTTCTTTCGTAGGTCACTCGCTCGGTGGCTTGATAGCGAGATATGCTATTGCGGTGCTTTATAATAAACAAGATGTAATAATAAAAAACGGTAACGAAAACGGTGAATGTGGTAAAATCGAAACTCAAATATCATCGTTGGAAGATAAATTAAGACGAAATATAGCTGGGCTCGAACCAGTTAACTTCATTACCTCCGCAACACCACATTTAGGTTGCAGGGGGCATAAACAGGTAAATCTCGTTCTCGTTCATTTTACGATCTAATTTAAATAAATAAATTAAATTAAAAAAGAAATTTGAAAATGATTTATTTTAACAGGTTCCGGTTTTCTGCGGGTTTTACGCAATGGAGAAATTAGCATCGCGTGCTTCGTGGTTACTCGGAAAAACAGGGAGGCATTTGTTCTTGAGCGATTGTGATGATGGAAAACCACCGCTTCTGCTTCGAATGAGCACTGATTATGAAGATCTTAAGTTCATGTTAGTCTTTTTTTAATCATTTTTTTTAATTAAGGTCTGCATTTGGATTTTGCTGTTACGGATTTTGAAATTATTTCGCTCAAATTAAGTGGATTAATGAAGTTTTATTGTTAATTAATCTCGACTCTCGTTACAGATCTGCATTGAAGTTGTTCAAGAGGAGAGTTGCGTATGCAAATACACGTTTTGACCGTATCCTGATTTTACTTACAAATAATGTCTTTGTTTATATAAGTAAACTGTAACCAAATGAAGTTTTCGTAGTTTAAAACTAATTGATATAATTTATTTTTAATTAATTCTTTTACTTAATATATAACCTTGACCACGTAACACAGATCTGGTTGGGTGGAGTTCTTCGTCATTGCGCCGTCGCAAAGAGCTTCCCAATGTGTGTGTGTGTGTGTGTGTATATATATATATATATATATATATATATATATATATATATATATATATATATATATATATATATATATTATATACATATATTTTCACTTTTACTGCAGATTAATATGTAAAAATATAAATACTTATATAATAAATATCTTGTGGTGTTTTTCTATTTTAGCACCGGAATTTTCAGAAAAATGCTAAATACCCACACGTTGTAAACGAGGAGAAACCGAATGCGCAAAATTCTCATGAAGAATTTTCTTTGGAAGCTAAAGTTGCTAAAGGCAAGATCAGTGAAATGGAAGGTATTCTTTTTTAAATCGAGTTTACATGTGTCTACGTGCGTGTATATATATACACATGCATATACGTTATATATACGTAAGATTGCATGCTGTACGAACTCCGAATTGGAAAGTTGTTATTGCAGTTATGATAAATAATATCGACATTCAATTTTTCTTGCAAATTATTATAGAGACAATGATCAGAGGATTAACAAGAATGAGTTGGGAAAGAGTCGATGTCAGCTTCAGCGGAAGTATACAGAGACTTCTTGCACACAATACAATTCAGGTTTCGCATTATTTTTTTCAATACCGCCTCGTTTTGTTTTTTGGCTTCTAATTAAGTTTATTTACACATTAGTTGTTAGCTGCGTGACGATTGAAGGAAATAATATGCCCCATTATTTTTGGTTGTTTAGGTTAAAACTCGGTGTATAAATTACGATGGAGCGGATGTAATACAGCACACAGTCGACAATTTTCAACTATAAATATACCGTCGTCACTTACATCATCCTTCGGGAGTTTCGTATTAAATGCTTTGCAAGTGAGTCCTTTTGGTGAATATATTTCGCAAATATTTGAAGATGAAAATTGTCGGAACACCTTAGATCGACACACACACACACACATCCCTATGGGTGTGTGTGATCCTATTCGAGGACCATCGAGAAGGCCGAACGAGAAGGTATATATTCATCAAATTTCGGAGTCCCTTTTGTATAAGAGAGCAATATTGATTGTAATAACAGTTTTTTCGTAGATGCAAGAAAATAAATGGGAATTGTGGCCCCTATGAAATACGTGTAATGTAATCACTTTGAAGATCAATGCTTTCATTTAAGCTGATGGGAAGCTTTTAAGTTGTATCTCTTTGCAGCAGAAAAAGCCAATTTTATTTTAATTTTTTAAAATAATCTTAGAAAAAGCCTGTTGAAAGAATGCAGAGAGCTATTTCAGATGGAAAATGGTCCTAGAAATACAAAATTGATGTCTTACCTCACCCTATCATGCTAGGTTGGTCCATGCTCACAAATTTATTATTTTATTGAATTTCAAAAAAAAAAAAGAAAAAGAAAAAAAGAGGAGAATATAATGGATTAAAACAGAGAAAAGTCCATTTTCAATTTTTAATATATTATATATATATATATATATACACGTCTGTATTTGTAATTATTCACAAGTCAAAGTAGATCACTCATAATCAGCTTTTTACCACAAGAAAAAAAGTCAAAGTTACTGTAGCAGAAACTTTTGCGTGGGTTTGGAGGAAAGGGAATACTGATGCACTTAAATTACTCAACACTCCACCAGTACTGCATAATTTCTTACCAACCCTAACTTGTTCATCTTTCTTCCCAATAAATACACTCTTATTAATTCCACCCAAATCATATTACCCCATGATATATTATGTGAAAACGGTAAATTATGGATACCCTTGAGCTAAGGTCAAATAACGAAAAAATCCCTCTTGAATATTCTTATACGTCCACTTTTACAGTGTTAAAATTAGTGGAATCTTCTATATGATGTAGAATATTCTCCAATTTGTACGTGAAAACTAGAGAACATTCCATAAAATACAAAAAATTCAGTTGAATTTGACACCACAAAATCTACCAAAAAAAATTAAAAAAAAATTCAAACTTTAAAATGGCAATTCAATGAAAGACTGCACAAAATCCAACCAAACCTCAACAGTGAAATTAATACATTGAGTGGGGGGTGCAGTCACATAGTCACATGTCATTTTCTAAATTTCTAAATGAGAGAATAATAAAATAGTAAATAAAAGAAAAGAATTTCTCACTTTATAATTGCTGTGTGTGTGCAGAGGCAGGGGTTCTTTGGATAAACCCTTTCCTTTCTTCTGCTCACATTCTCATTTTGCAGCAGCTGTGCAAGAGTGGTTTCTTTCCATTTGGGCACATCAAACGAGGACACTTGTTTTCCCTTTTCAGAATTTCAGACCCCCTTTCTCAAGTTGTTTTCTCACTTCCATCTTTTTTAATTTGCAGAAGCCCCCCCAACCCTTTTTTTGTCAATCATTAAGTAATAAAAAGAATGAATCTTTCATTCTTCTTTTGCTAAACTATATTCAATGGCCGCCTGCATGAAACTAAACTCCTGCACACTTCTCCAAACAAGTATTCTCTGTCTTCTGGCTTTTGAGTTCTTCCTCTTACCAAACTTAACTCACGTGGCTCAAGGTAAGTAAATTAGTATACCATTTCTTGTCCGAATTTCCAAATTATATTGCATAATAATGGACGTTGCATGATTTTTATTTTCAGCTAGGCATTTCAGCAAACACTTTGACTACACTACGGTAAAGAAGGTTCATATTTCTTTTCTTTCTCTTCTTCGTCCACAAATTCTACTACCTGAAAACTGAAATATAATCTGTTTATAATGCAGGTGAGGAATCAAGAAACGGCGGTGAAGATGAGAGCGGTGATAGGATCACGGCCGCCGAGATGTGAAGGAAGATGCGAGTCTTGCCGGCGGTGTGAGGCGGTGCAGGTTCCCATTGTGCCGACGAAGAAGAAATACCATATCGAAAGCAGCCATTTTTATGCAATTGAATATTACAGAGGAGATGATATTTCCAACTACAAGCCCATGTGTTGGAAGTGTAAATGTGGAGACTTCATTTTCAACCCTTGGTAAATTTTTTTTTTTTTTGTCGATAGGTTTTTTTTAGTAGTTAAATTCTTAAATTTAGCTATAGTCCACTTGTATGTACATAGGTAACGTTTTGTCTCTCTAATTTATTAGTGATTATCGTTTTGCATTATGTCATTCAAATTGGATTTCTTGAAATAATTTCTTGGATTCTTGATTTTTTCTTTTTTTTTTTTTTCTGAATTTTAATTGGATTCTTGATTCATCCATGTTTAGTAGACCTATTGATATTGACGTACATGTCTTAATATAATAAGCCCAAAGATAATTATAAATGTGGGCCCAAATAAATATAAGTCAAAGCCCAAGTTAATATTTCAAGCTTATAATTAAATGAATTTAGTGTACAAATAGTTCAATTATTATTACAGGTAAATTATTATCATTTTATTGCAGAACTAGTATTACACCCGTGCGATGCACGGTAAATATATATTTTAAATTGATGATTGAAAAGAAATATATGAATATATACAAATACATAGATTTTTTCGTGTCATTATGTATGATTTATGAATATATAAGATGTATCGGGACAATTACATATTTTAACTATCTAACAATCAATGTTAACTTTCTCAAAAAAAAAAAAAAAAAAACAATCAATGTTAACGCTTAAATGGTCACACACAATAAAATTTATATATGTTCCAATACGCGTACTAATTGTTTTCGGGTGGCTCCTACAGTACCTTTTGCCTCTTCCTACCCCAGTGATTTTGACCATGATTCCCCTTAATCATTTGTTGTACTTAACTTGCTCTCACTCACACACACACACACTCTGCCCCAGACACATGTACAAACAATGGAGTTTTGAAGAGTAAATTTTAGAGTAAATGAGCCTGTGTACTCTGCCAATGGATTTTTTAGGAGCAAGTCTCACCTGAGAAAAACTACATATGAAAAAATGAAAAAAAGTAAATGTAATCTTTATTTTTCAATAAGGAATTAAAGTAAATGAATAGAAACAAAGTGTAGAACAGCTAAGGATGTGAATCCATGTTATCCGTAAATAATTTTCAATCTGCTCTTTCGCAGTTGCCTTTTTCGTTCGTCGTCTTCATTGACACAACATAGCTACTACAATCACAACTCCTACACCATAAAAATAGAAGCAAATGGAAAAACTACTCCGCATTCTTTGTTTCTATGTACTGCTTATTAATCAAGCACAAAACAAAGATCCATTTATAAAGACTGAACAAACTGTGGAAAAAATAAAATTCTTAGGGTATGTTTGGAACCGTTTTTATTTTGTTTTCATTGTTTCCCCAAAACAAAATGGGATTTATTACACTTTTCAAATCATTTTCTCAAAACAATTTCAAAAGTTTCTCTCTCTTTCAGACATGATGTGACTGCTACAGTAAAATGATTGGACTGCTACAGTAAAAAATGTCTTCACTAAAAAACAAATAAACATCACTTCACCTTTAAATTTTTTTCTTCAAACATACCTTTTTCTAACACCTTTAAACATGATTTGACTTGCTACAGTGTATTTTGTCTCCTTTCAAAATACAAACAAACATTACTTTCATTCTCAAATTATTCCCCCAAAACATATTTCCTCAAAATGAAATCAAAATAAGATCCAAAACGCTTCCAAACATTGCCTTAGCAACTCAGAAAAAACCGACCGACAAGCCACATAGGAAAGAGGGTAACAGTTGAAATTTCAGACGACTCCCCACTGTGAAATTCAGTTAGGGAAAAATAAAATCGTAAAGTTATTAGCAACTCCAAAGAAATCCACATAAACCAGCCTCTAGTTGTGAATGATTGCACCCGTTATTTGCATGAAAACCCATGGAAGAAGTCAATAATATAGTTTATAGTATCTTAGAGTTAACAATGTTAATCAGTAGGATGTATATCTTCATCTTATTAGCACAGGAAATTCACATTTATTTATCTTCTTATTTATTTCCAAAACATAGAAGTATTATTATATGCCTAAAATTCAGAACAAATATACAAATTCATAGTACATGTGCAGAGTGGAAGTAAAGAAAATGAAAACAAATTATTATCAAGTAAAAGGGTGTCCTAATAAGTAAATATAATAAAATTAATGAACTGAACCAAACATCCAATTAATCCCTAAAACTATTATCCCTAGAACTGATCACAAAACAAATTCTTAAGAATATACCCTTAATTGGTTGTATTCTGCAGTATAGATGACATCTAGTTTCATAAATTCCTTGGTGAACATTTACCCTTTCAATGCCAAATTGACACTCACACAGATGTTCTGAGAATGGAAGAAAGAAAAACAATGCTAGGTTAATTTGTTTGGAAAAATTCAATGAAATGCATTTATAAAGAAATACCTTGTCATTTCATCTCCATCTGACCAAAGTATTGGCACAAACATGAAGCCACAATACCTTAAGAACGCAATTGAGCCAACATTTGCTTCATCTTCTTCTAGTGGAGCAACCTAAAGTTATTGTTAATAAGCATAGCAAACCTTTAATCTTAGAATAGATGATACACTATCAGGTCTTCATCAAGCGTCATGTCTTCATTAAGCTCCGGCGCGGCGGCGGCGTTGACAGCATGGGTGCATTATGAGACGTCAAATTGTCATGGAGATCATGAATTAATCCATCGGCATACTCGTGAATTACCCAATTGGCGATTTTCATCGAAACAAAACCTTAAGTTTCTTGCCTAATGTGACTACAGAAAGGTCAATATCACCATGTCAAATTTACCATAAAGCCAATAAGAAGTAAATGAAAAGCATATATATATATATATATATATATATATATATATATATATATATATATATATATATATATATATATATATTTCATTCCTAAAACAGAGTAATTTGTAAGTATTATAATTAAAATTGTAACATAATAGCATATATTAAAGAACTATAATAATTAGAAAAGGTTAAGACTGTACAATTCCTTTATTTCCTTTATAAATACAAAAAAAAAAAATAGATTAACCCGATCTGAGGTCTCATAATTGTGGGTATTAATTAACTGTAATAAACCCACCAAAAAAGTTGTGTGAAAGAAAAAGATCGAAAATGATAATGGATGAGGAATTAAAACAACAATATAACATGCAAAGTCGGAACAACTCTATTCTTCATAATTTTCAACCTTTCCATGTTTCTTAAGCCCCAAAATAACATATAGATTGCCTAACAAATCCCCCAGTTGTGACAATAATGCGACGCATAATCTGTAAACTAATAAATATATTAACAAAAAAATAACTGCCCTTGAACAATTCGGATTTTGTGAAAAGGTTTCGAGAACCTAGAAATTCACAAATTAGCGAATTAAATAAAGTGAAAACTGAAGATCTTTTGTCATTGTTTATGATATTGATTTGAATGAAAGAATTACCTGAAAATGCGAGCCGAGAGGGATTTTGAGATGAATTGCGAAATATTTTCGAAGAACAGGAAGATGTATGATCTGAATGCAGACGGTTGAATGGAGAAGTTGGGAGAAGTTATGAGAATGTGTGCAGAGGTATTTAGATACGGATAAATTGTAAAAAAAATTACTGCATTTTATTTTTGAAAGATTTTGTGGGAAGTAATAATTGTTGAAAGATTTGTGTTGATATAGAGATGAGACATGAAATTGGAGATGAGAAGTTATTAAATTGATGGGAAATACCGATTTCAATAGGCGGTTTCTGCTGTTGAGTGGGTATAAAAATTTAGAGGAAAATTGGAGATGACGATGAAAAACGGCCGATAGAATTTTAGGGGAGATGAATTATGGGTTTTTACTTTTTTCATTTTTACACCCAAAAATAATAAAAATTATAAAATTTACCCTAGGGTTAGAAACCCTAAGTTGCCACGTGTCAGAAGATGAGGCAAGGTATTGTCTTTTTATATATATATAGATGTCTTTCTTACATTCTTGAGAGAGATCTTCTCCGTATTTTTCTCTCGGACTTATATTGACTTAAGCATTGGAGGGTTTTCGTCGAAACTAAGTTCCGGCGCCGTAACATGTATTTTTTTTTTTTTTTATGCATGAAATGCATCGTTTCCCTTAACTAAAGAAGATTGTCGAATGATTATTTTGATTCTCAAACATTTATTGCAAGTTCGAGAATCATGTTATTGAGGTGATTCGAGTTAATTTAATGTTAATCGCACCACCTTCTAATTTTAATAAATTTAATAAATAAGTATATGTATCTTCGAAAGAAAAAAATGTAACCAAATCAAACCTCACTAATAATGATATTATATCATGTCTTGTTCACCTGCACATAAGTGAGCCCACAAACATTTGGATTATACGTAAATTATATGTATGTGTAAGAGAGAGAAAGACAGTATATTATGACACTCGATTTAACATTAACCATTGATCTTTTTATTTTTATTTTTATTTTATAATAGTGCTAAAAGGAAGAAGGGGTATTGAATTGTACCTTGATCCATCAGGAAAATCACGTGTGGGATTGGACTATTTTGTTTTGTTCATCAAACGTTTGTATCGTTCTTTTGTGCACTATTAATACAAAAATTATAGTACTACTCTATGATGTGTCAATGTAATGTGGGGTTTGGTAATGACTAATGAGAAAATTGAAATGGGAATGTGATACCTCAAAACACATGCTCAATAAAAATATTGGGTAAATTACGGTTAACCCCCTGATGTAAGGTCAAATTACAAAAAACTCCCTCATGTTAATGTAATTACAACTACCCTTTCATCTACGTATTTTTTTTTACAAGAAAATCCCTCATTCAGTTAGTGAATTTGACACTGTAAGGATCGATGTGTAAGATAATACATAGTTGAAAATGGTTGTAGTAATCTAAACAAGAGACGTTTTTTCGTAATTTGACATTACCGTAGATCATGAAAATTATTAATAAATCTACTAGTAGTTTCTTTTGCTGTGGTCCTAATCACAAAAAAAAGGGTCATTACAACCACCTCCTGGGGTATGGTCAAATTACGAAAACCCCCATCTTGTTTGGATAATTACAACCACCCCTCAACTCCTCAAATTTAGTGGAATCTTCGAGATTATATGGAATATTATCACTTTTGTACCCGTTTTATCCCATTCGAACTCTACATTTTGAAGCAAGATGATCATAATATGTGTTTTTTGGCTTGTATATATCAGATTGTGGTGCATCAGAAACTGTATTTTTACACAAAATGAGTTCAAACTATAGCACATTCCATGAGATCTAGATGCTTGTGTTGAATTTGACACCATAAGGGTGGAGGTGTAAGAAAAAATCATAGTTGAGGGGGGTGGATGTAATTATCCAAACAAGAGGGTTTTTTTGTAAATTGATCATACATCAGGGGGGTGTTTGTAATTTACCAAAAAATGGTTAATAAGCCCATAAATAGGCCCGATTGTTCGGCCCAATTGATAACCATCAAGCATCTTTGTCAGGCTGTCGGCGTGTGAAAAAATATGTTTCATTATTTTAATTTCTTTTGATAGCAAGAGGGAGAATATAAATGAATTCAAGTGTATTCAACCACTTCCATAAAAAAATACTTTTAAAATTTGGATTGTTCTATTTATCAAGAAGTCCCTCTTGAAATATTCTTTTTCTATTTAACCACCTACCATTCCCATGAAATTCAAATATCCACATAAGGAAAAGTCCAATGCATACTGTAGAGTGTGAACTGGTATGGCATTATTTTTGACACAGTTGGAACTGTAACAGAGGCCCCCGCCCAATAGATAAACTCCACCAATGCATAGTTAATGCCATTTCTCCCTCTCTCTCTCTCTCTCTCTCACACACACACACACACACACAGAGTAAGAGTGCACTGTGTGTAGTGATGGAATCATTTTCTTGAACTACTGTGCCACTGCCACCAGTCCCCCACCTCAACCTACGGCTAAATCAAAACTACTACCATCAATGGCAGCTCATTTATGAACTCCAACTGCAAATCTTATCTCCTTCACTAGGTAGGTAATTTAATCAAGGTTTATTCTCATCATTTTATGACCACACATTTTCTATCTTCTCCATATGAGAAATGTTTTTATTTATTGTTTCTTGAAATTATAATACCTCTCTCTCTCTCTCTCTCTCTCTCTCTCTCTCTCTCAGACAGAGACACAAAGCAGTTGAGATAAATTGACAGGTGATGGTGAAGCAATCAGTACCAGGTAGGAATGTGAGGGGGAAGAGCTTAAAAGTGAAGCATGCCCTCCACATATTAGTGCTTGTTGCCATTTGCATATGGTTTCTTTACCAGGTGAAGCAGTCTTCATACTACAATAAGATAAGACCACAACAATTATTAGTATCAGACAATGGAGAAATTTACGAGCAGCATCAGATATCGAAAATGGGGCGGAAGCACTTGAAGCCAAAGCTCGACAAAGTCGATTTAGAGTTCGAAAAGCAAGGCGAAGAAGAATTGGAAATCGAGGATGAAGAAGCCAAAGGGAAGGGGATCGACGGAGAAGAGAACATCGACCGGGAAGAAGAGAAGAGTGAAGAAGCAGAGCATGATCAGTTGCAGGATTTCATTGATGAAGATGACAAGGATTAGATATGAAATATTATTGTACATGTTAAATATTTTTTGAAGCATTTAAAGAACAGGGGAAGATTAAAAGATGCAGGAATTTTGTTTCTACTATTTCTGTAATTGCTTAAAAAGTGAAAAATGTATTGTCATATCCATGAGTTACGAAATACAAATACAGGCAAAATAAAGAAACTCGGATAAGTGCATACGATTAGCTGTAGGAAACTAGAAGCTGAGAAAACGAGATTCTTTTGAGAAGTAGTAGGGGAAATGATTTTAAGCTCCGAAAGTTATACACGAGTTAATCAAGAATAAGATAGTGATGACACAAATAAAAGTTCGAAGTTCCTTCTGCTTCAACGAACAGCCAGTGGTTGAGATCATTTAGGCATTTTTAGTCTTGATTGGTTGATGTGAATTCCACTGCAACAACATCCATACGATGGATGTGCCTGGAAAATAAATCGTTATTGAATTAAACTTTATTAACATTTAAAACAAAGATGAAATAGAAAAGAATTTAATCATAATATCATGTATCTCCACAAACTAATACATCAGAACTAGAACAGAAAAACGGAAAACGAATGCAGAAACTTAGGATGAAAACAGCAACATGTATGCTATCATCGATTTTGCAGTTCATTAGCATAGAATAGAAGTTATAAGTCATGCATGTGATACCCGAAAGATAATATAGATCCAAATAAGAAACAATGATAATTAAAAAAAATGAGAATTGTGGATGATAGTTGTTAATTTGCAGCAGCATTACCTGCAAAAAATCCAACTGTTGCTAGGTTTCCAATTGTCATGGTGTGATAAATCAGATACTCGGTCAAGAAATGGCCCAAAGCATAGATAAAAGATAGGAAAGTAGCCAAATATAAAGGCTTGTTCTCGAGGTTTAGTGCGCAAAGAAAGCAAAGGGTGCAAGTCAAAAGCGTCCAAACTCCAAATGTCCGTCCGTGAACTTCACTCACTGCAATTTGAAAAATATAACTACGTGATTCTCATTGAAAAGTAACGTGTGTCTTGGGAATTTGAATATCTAAATCTTAATATAAATGTGAAGAGATGCAAGGAGAAAGAGAAGAAAACATGCAATACATGAAAATATTGATTTCGAAGACATTAACATATTTATATCTATAGTTTAGATAGCACATAAACTCTTCATCGGTATAGTATTGAAGCATATGAAACCATGAAAATATAGAAAAAGAAATTGGAAGAAGTAAGAACTGCCCCGATATCCAATTGCTAATTTTACACACGAATCAAAGCATAATATGGAAAAACCTCAATGCCAACCTATGTGATTCAGCCTTCAGGCACCTGAAACTTTTTTTAGGGTTGATCTGCTCCTTTGCTAAAATATTAATACATTTGAATTGGTCGATATTTTTCCATCGATTCCAGATTCTGTAAGATGATTTTTTCATGCTGCCAGCAAAACCTTAAAAATAGTCTTCCATATTATGTTTAAACCATATGATCACAATGCATTGGAGAACCTACTCAGACGGAATAATTTTTTTCAAGATAAATATCACCTAAAATATAAAATATAACACTATTAACGCCAACACAGGACCAGTAAGCAAAGGAAAACCCCAGAGACTGCTCTCAGCAAATTTGTGAAGTGGAGAAACGAGTCTACGACTTCAATAACACATTATTAACATTATACTCTATTTGGCCATAGTTCACGAGAAAAACGCCATCCTCAGTGTTTAAACTCAACCATCGTAAATTCGTAATGTTCAAATCAGATCTTGCATAATTTAGCAATTTTCGAGCTGCAATTTGAGATTAAATGCTAAGGTAAAAACAACGCTACTATCAAATTCCACTTGCTGAACTAATTATTTCTTGACCGTAATTGCTTAAGTCTGAAGAAGTGCAGATAAACTAAACAAAACATACTTTTATAATAATTAATAATAAATAAATAAAACACTGTTTTAATTACAGGATCCAACACAATGCGGGAATTAGGGGATTTACATATCGATTTGGATCAAATCACGAAGAAAAAAGGGGGGTGATTTCATTCAACCGATGCAAAATTAGGTTAAGTTCAACGAATCTGAATAAACATCGAACGAATCGCCACAGAAATCGAAATGATTGAAGAGTGTGAAGGAGAGAAAACATACTGGTGGTTTGGGAGAAAACCGCGAGACGAAGAGCCCAAATGTCGAAGAATCCGAACCAAACGGATGCTAATCGAAGCGTGCCCACCAGCATCAGCCACCATCCCAATAACTCCATCTTTTTTTTCTGGATCAGTAGTAACTCCATCTTCACTGCAGCTATACTCCACACACACTACTCACACTACTGTTGCTTTCTCCGCCTGCTTTGGGAGGAGAATTATTTATATTTTTCCAAACAAATCGGCCTCTAATTAAATAAGATCCATATAAATTAATAATTAGTTAATATCAATAAGAAGAATATAGATTTCGTAAGCTATATTATAAATTAATAATGGGCTCCTGTGTTACCTAATAAGTTTAGGTTATATGAGATTGAATTGTTTTTTTACCGATTAATTAATAATTTAGTAAAATTTGTATTTAATCTGTTAAATTTATTGTGAGATTTGACTTTAAAAAAAGTTATTTTAATAAGGTCTTAAGTCTAGAAAACAATACAGGTTACAACGATCTTTAATATTTAATTATTTATGACATTGTATAATTAGTATATCAAGAGCAAGTCCAAACAATTAAATTATTAGATAGCTGTAATTTATCAACAATTACGTGCACGCACATCCTTCACCCAAACCCCACAACCTAATCCCATTTTATTTTTATTTATTTAGAGGAAATACCAAATTTACCCCCTTTTACACCAACAAGAATGTGGCAAGGTAACCAACCTGCTAGCTTTGTTTTGGCACTACTCAACGCTCAATAATTTGGTATGCAACATTATTAAATTATATAGTGATCGACTAATTATCCTTTTTTTTTTTTTAATTCTGTTACATATTTCAATTCTATAATCATGCTAAAGTTCAGTCAATAATTAACAACTATGTAATGAAAAGGCAAATTAGGTAGCACACTCCAGAGTTTATATAGGATTAGACAAAATTCATCAACATTTTCAAATTATAATATAATTCATCCAATAAAACAAAAAACTCACAATCCACACACTTAAAAAAGACAGCGTGTCTTTTCTCTGCAACAAAATTACCCCCAAATGAGACAAAATCCCACCTTTTTTTTTACCCTCATCTGTACATTAATCCTATTTGTAGTTAGTAACAAAATGTCAAATCTACCCCTCATTATTCACCCCCTCAAACCAAGCAGTAAAAAAAGAACTTTTACAGAAGAAGAAACGGTTAATTTTTCCGTAATTAATTAATTAATTAATCAGAAACGTAAATCTTGAGGCGTCAATTCCTTGCGGAGCTTCTGAGAGAAAAGCCTGCAGGCATCCATGCTCAAGTCCAGCGCCGCTGATAAAGCAACAAACGCCGCCGCATCCTCCGTGCAAGTCACGTGCTGCACGCTAACCTCCACCACCGGACCCACCGTCTTCCCACGCCCGTTCCCTTCCACGCAAGCCGACATCACAAACCCCCTGTACGCGGAGTAGGGCCACAGCCCATTCCCGAAATCCCCACTGCCACGTGGACTACACCCTGGCGACGCGCCGCCGCTCCTCGGCGTCCCCGACGGCGTGCCGCCGCCGCCGTTCAAGTCTATGACGAATTTCCCTCCCTTGCTGCAGCTGAGCGCCGACTCGGCTAACACAATACCCGCAGCCGCCGCCGAGTCTAGGATTAGTTCGAACCGGTAGCCCAAACCGTCGGAGGCGCCGCGCTCGCGCCAGGCCTCAAGCCGGCCCCACGGCTTCCACGTGCCGTCACCGGGCCGGAGAATGAGCCAGCAACCCGGGTTGGACCGGCTCACCTTGTCTGAACCGGGCAAGGGTACGAACGGCGTCACCATCGAGGCGACGGCGACAGGCGAACCGGAGAGATCGTGGATTGTGATGGACCATCCTTTTCGTTCTTTTCCGGGCCTTTCTCTTTCACTACCAAACGAACTTAACCAAGCCCGTGCTCCGTTACTGTGTTCTGACGGTAAAGACCTGTCAATTAACGGCTAACAAACAATTAATAAACGGAAAATTGTGTAATCGCAATTAACATATTGAAAAAATTGGGGTTTAATTATTTTACATGGAGCGTTGATTGCGGTCAGGGGCACGAAAACTGAACTTGCAGGTGAAAACCGGCTGGCGAACATCGCCTTTGATTTGGAAAACCTGCGGGCTGCATTCGGGCTCTCCGTCGAACTGGAATACGAATCTCGGGTCGGGTTCCGCCTTCACATTCAAGTGAAACTGCGCCGCACCTTTGGCTTCCACCCCCACACTAATCCACCCGTTGTGGAAGACCACCGCTCTGGACTCCGCCGCGGTCAGATCCAACGGAACCGTGATCTTCCCCAACAACCGCCCCGAGTTCACGCCGCACGAGGCTCCACGCCGCCCGGAGTACACCGCGATTTTAAGCTGCGGTCTCTTGCCGCCGGAAAATATGGAGGATTTCCCCAACAGCCTATCAACGTCGGGTTTACTGAGATGGAAACTGGCGGCGAGTGCGTGAGAATTCCCTTCGGGAAATTGTGCGCTCTCCGGCGGAATGTAGGGCACCACGGCGTTCTGGATTGGGAAGCCTTTCAGCTTGATTACACAGAAGCACGGCGACGACGAGGGGTGCACGGCGGAGCGAGCTGGCTTTGCCGCCACCGGAAATTTCAGGGCGAGATTCTCTATGGTTAACCTCACGAAAGGACATGGATCCATGACGGATTTTCTTAAGAAACCCCCAATTCGATTATCTCTCTATATATATACACTTCTGAATAATATTATTCTTTTAGGATTAAACAGAAAAAAAGAAAAAGAAGAAGAAGACTACTCCATAGGGATGCGCGCACCACTCTCCAAACTTAACCACACACCATTGTTTTTCCTCTCTGTAAATTATATCAATAAGGAAAAAAATATTATTTTAAAATCTATTTTTTTATGTATATCTTAATTTGTGGTCTAATTAGGAAGTATTGCATTTCTTAAATAAATGTAAAGGCTGTCTGAAAATAAAAATGGCAAAAATATATTTTCGAATTCTTAAAATGGATTTTTAAAATCAATATAATTTAGGGTTGGAGGTTTGATGACGTAAGCATGGTACAGCTGTTGACAGGCTGTCGTTAAATATGTGTGCGCCAGTACGACGGAAGTTGACGGCAAATCAGATAGTTTATTGAACTTACGAAAATGACCCTGAAGTTGTCACTAGTATGACGATAATGCCATTATTTTGTACCACGGTGCAATTGGAGAGCTATAGGACTAGATTGTTAAGTAATTAAAACAACATTAATTATTGACTGAAATGAATTGAAAGATAATTATTAATTTGTTTAATGGAGGTATTTTAAACAATGATTTCTGGAGAAAAAAAATAGAAAAAACAATTAACTAGAAGGACACAAAATCATGTTACATGGTAGTAGTAATTAAACTAAAAAAGTGGGGCCGTTGGATTTCCGAAAATGAAAGCCTAGGGAATGATGAATCTGCTAATATAGGGATAAAGCAGAGTGTAGCTTTGGATACCTTGTTTCATGGCCGTTGGATTGGGAATTGTTGTGGGCTTTACACAGTAGTAATAATAAACGTGGCATGTTGTACAGAGATCGTGTGGTTAATAATGAACTCGACCTGGTGTATGGTTTGAACACTAACATGCCCCTGGCTTATTTTTATAGTTTCATCTAAATAGTACTCTCTTGTTAAATACAACAATGGTACAAGAATTATAAATAAAATATTTGAATTTCCTTTATAATATTATTTTTCTAAAAGTCTATCAAAAAACAATTAGTATATTATTAGGTAGTTGTTATTGTTGAGATGAACTAATCATTTATATCTTCATTTTTTTTAAAAACAAGTGTAATGAGTGAAATATAATGTGAATGAGTGTATCTCCGTCGTCATCCTTATCATTTTTCTGTCCTTGATCGGGCAATTCGGGTAATCATTCTCAGTTAGGTTAACCGATCGTCGCCACTCTCATGCCTCCTAATAAACATTATTTTTTCGTAGGCTTTCTCCTCTTTTTCCGATTGTCCAAGATCCTTCGACCATTTAATGCTGATGTCAGCATATTAAAATGTGTCGCTACGTGTGCGCTACACGCTTGCGGGGTCATTTATGTGCCCTTCCGTATTTGTCGGACTTAATGCGCCTACTTGTCGGACTTAATGCGCCGAATCAGAGTCATCGCGACGCCCCTCCGAGCGCCATGCTTTCCTCACTAAGTTCCTTTGTGTGGGCCGTTTTTGTGGGTCCCAGTAAATGGGCTTCATATCTTGGGCTTCATCTTTGAATTATATCTTTTTTATTGGCTCGTGTTGCCTACTTATTTGGATCATGATATTCTTATTGGGCTTACTCATTAATTCTTATATATTATCATTTCATAATGGGCCACAAAAGCCATCCCATAGCCCAATAAGATATTTCGTTCCAAATTTCCCTAGCTAAACCTAAGCCCAATAAGCTCAATTATTTTTCGGGTCAATAATAAATCAGAGGCCTCGAATTTATTTATATTCACATATTACATTTAAACATCTACAAATTAATACAATCGGGACTAGGGAAATTCTATTAATTTAACAGATTATTAAATTATCGAGTTAATAATTTAACACGTTTTCACCGAGCCAGGACTGAGAGAAACTATTATTTAATCGATGTTCTATTGTAATTACTTTCGAATAATATATCAAGATCAATCAAACTTTGCAATCTGTGGCAATTTATAGCAAGTATTTATTGTTGAACGCAACTAATTAACTACTCTTACTGATTCGTCCGAATTCGTTAGTGGGCTTCTTCAATCCGTATGTGTTGATGGATTCCCTATATTCTGCAAATAAGAACACAAGAAAGAAGAAACCGGGCTGATGCCGGAGTTAGCACTCCGACGATCAAGTCAGTACGGTTTTGATCTGAGAAAAGGAATAATTATATTCTTTTTTATTTGTTATCTTTTTTTGTTGTAGGAAGGAAGTCTCTCTTAGGTAAATTAATCTCTTGCTATTTATAGAGAACTCATGAGAGCGGATTTCAAATACGGACTCCAATCCTATTTTAGTTGTCCCTTCAGAAGTGTTTCAGACTTATCGAGATTTATTAAATTAAATTCACCTGTCTTCTCGATGAACAGTGTTATGAACAGTGTTGTGAGCTGCTTATTCCCTAGACTGCATATTCTCTGAACGCCTTTTGACGCTTTAAGAGGGGATATTAAATGCAAGATGATTATGTCGGACATCATATCTTGCAGCTCTCGCTTCTATCCTCTCGCTACTGAGAGGGTCTCCCCTCTCGCATCCCCAGAGCCTTTGATTAGGTTTCCTAGCTAGACCCAGAGCACTTGATTTATCAAATCTAACCTGTATATTCTCTGCAGTTTCTGACATTTTGAGCAGATACGCATTAAATACAAGTCGGCGGTGCTACTCCCTTTTTCAGATAATATTCCTTGTTTCCCTCCTTTCATCTCGACGATCGCGAATTTCTTCCCTTCTCGCCCTGGAGTGGGCTCTCGCAAGCTTCTCCTTATTGGGCCTTTATTGGGCTCTCTTTTATTGGGCCGAAATGATTAGTTTTTTACTGAATCACTTACACATTTCCATGTTTGAAAATTAATATAAATTGCTTTTACACACCCTGCATAGTCACAGTCCCGTAATAAAGTCTTCATTCCATAATAATGCATTTTCAGTATTTTCATTTTATTATTAATTAACCTGTAATTCCAAAAGAAAACAAAAAGAAGAGCCACAATAAAAAAAATTAATTACGCAAAGGTCCTTTATAAGTAAATAGTCACATCAGACTACTTAATTGGTCAAAGCTTTTGAATAAATAAATAAATTTTTTTGCTACTATTAAAAAAAATTGACATTTAAGTAATTGTTTTTTTCACCAAACTTAATCTTTACATAAATGATTTTACAAGACTCGTATGAAGTTCCTTTTTTAACCTTCACTATTTTGTTTAAAATGGAAATTCGATTCCCATCGGCATCGGATAGCGAACCAATTGTTCGATTATGTTATTTTCTTCTTTTATTGATTTCAAAAATTTGATAATTCAATACATCCTAATTAGGGGTGTATACGAGCCAAACTCAAATTCATTTTGACGAGCTCAAACTCTTCGAGTTTCTTTTTTGGGCTCCAACTCGAGCGAGCAAAGCTTGTCGAGTTCAAGCTCGAGCATGAGTCTATTTTGTATTATTTATTTATTTTTTATTAATATTATTAAAATTCATTATTATAAATTATTTTCATTACAATATTTATTATTTAATTTTGTATTAATTATATTTAAAATAAATAATAATAAATTAAACAAAAAAAAAGCTCATGAGCTGGATTGGGAGCTCAAGCTCGAGCTATTATCGAACCGGCCCACCTCACAAGCCGACTCAACTAATTTAGAGCCCTACTCCAAATACCATAGTATAATTATGTTTGTATCTTAAAATAAATATTTGATTCGGTTTGATACTTGGTTGTTGGTACCACAATTTCTGTATGATTTTGTACGGGCTTTTACTAATAAGCAAGAGAAGGGGGGGAAAAAACAAAAATACAAGTCATGGTATTGGCGATATATTTGTATACATGTAGGGGCAAAATTGTCCTACTCTTGCCGCTTATGTTCTGAATTCTCTGCGACTCAGACTCGGCGTGGAAGACGACACGACCATTCTGGTGTTTCTGCTTTCTCGCACTATCCCACGTTCATAATTCTTCGCAGGTAAACACACACTCACACATTTCTCACACAGCACACAATACACCCAGTAGATGTTCTACACTTATAGAGAGAAATTCATGATCTTTCAATTTTTTTCCATTTGGCTTGTTTGTACGTCTGTGTACTCCTCTACTCTGTTTTTTTTTTTTTGTTTCCCCTCTGCATTTTGTTTGCGATTTTGCGCGATTTTGAAAGTGGAGTGTGAGCATATCTGTAGTTGCCTTTTGATTTCGCTGGGGTTTCTTTGATTTTAGGAGGAAATATGCATTACTCGCGCTATCACAGCTTTTTTTCACGTGTTTTGGTTACCATTATCAGTTTTTTGCTAATTTATTTGCGCCGGGCTAAGTGATCACACAACTGTTGTTTGTCCGTCTCGTTTTTTTTGTTTTTTTGGCTTTTCGTGTGTGGAAGATCGCTTTATTTTCGATTTATTATTTAGTTTTGTTGTTCTTACCGTTTGGTTGCATGAAATCGCAAACCCTAGGGTTTTTGTTTGTCCGGCGCCATAGCAGTACTTTTAATTCTAATTTTAGATTTTGTTTGCTCTCTGTTAGGCATTTGTGTCGATTGATTTTACGAGCATCTTTCTTCTCTATATGTAATTTTCATTTTCCCGTATGTTGGCGGTTGAGTTGCGCCATGGGTGTTTTGTTTTAATGGTGAGTAAGATGGTTGTCTGATTTTTCTATTTTCTGTTCCAGTTGTGGTAAACTGTTTATCTATCTTGTGTTCTCGAAGATTTTGAATATTTTTGATGGATTTATTTACTGGCCTCTTGACTCTCATGGCAATCAATTGAAGGTCTTCATGGTGCAGATTTGGAAAACTATTCAATTTTAATTTGTAGTCCCTCAATTAGTTTTTCTTTAGCTTCCATCACAGCATTGCATTCAATGCATTTGTTACATACATATGAGTGGAACGGGAAGAACACTGTTATTACTGTTATTGCTGAAGTCTAGTTCACTTTGACTTGTTTAGGTCTGGCTATTTCACGATTTCTAGCATGATGTATAAGCTTCGTGAAGCATTTAGGAGTCAATGTTTATACACTACCCCGAACACACAACTGTCACAGTTACCATTTCTCTGTCCTCTCATGACATCGGTTTCTCATTTAGTGAAGGAATATACACACGATTTGAATTCTTGAGAGCTTAGACGTTTTGCTGAGTGAGGTTCAGATAAAACAGAAATTTCAAGTGTAATTTGTCTGGGTGTAAAATATAACTTCTTGCTTTTCCTATAATCATCTATTTTGACTTACCTGTGAATGTTTAGTGAAGACATGCGCGTCAATTAAAAGTGTCCCTTTTATTTCATACGTATTAGAAAAATAACTTATTATTTATTCATTTTTCTGAATATTTGAAATGTAGGAGCCTAGGTTCTTTTCCACGTAATCGCATGGTCTGGCAGAGTTTTTAACAGGAGATTGTGTCTTGAAAATGGAGCCATCAAAAGAAGGTGAGTGTCGCAGTTTTTTCTCTGAGTTGTTGAATCTTGCGTGAAAAAGAATATAGTTTAGTTGACCATGTATCTTTAATATAGTATTGATAAAAACATAAAACAAGCGCAAAAAAACTCCAGACCACACAACACATGCTCACTACATTACATATACTAAGCCACTAGAGAAGTTAAGAATAGGTAACAAACTACCTGTTATTTTTTCTATTGTATGGAATTATTTAGATTCTCTTTGATGGTTGATGATAGTTGTGTATACCGATGATCATCTTTTTTGTGGAAATAATAAATGCTTCAAGTAGTCTGATTCCTCATCTGCCATGTGGAGTAACTTTGTCTAACTTCCATTTCCTTGCATGTCCGTAGGTCCATGCTTTACATGTTGATGGATTTGTACAAATACTTAGCTTGAGTATTATATTTGTCTTTAGCTTCTTTATGCAAAGTTTTGCAGGTTCTTCTCGACTTCTTATTAAACTTACTAAAGATCAGAAAATTATAAGCCGCGTAGCATGTGTTGGTCCACCCACGCAAATGTACGTTGTTTTCCAGCCACTAAATTTGCTGATTTGTCCTTAAATTTTTAAAATGTTGATTTTTTTTGTGACAAAAGAACATCTGTATTGGTGCTATATTCAATGTTCTCGTCCGTTTTTATGTGATGATTTTATCTGCATTGGAGCATGTGATGATAATGTAACCAAAAAACGCAATTCCAGAACCCTGAAAACCTGGTACCGTGGATGTCTTTGCATCAGTTCATAATCCGACTTGTGAAATGTATTGTGAAATAGCTGAACAACTGTTTGTGACATGGAGAATCATTTGCATTGCCTGTAAGGCTGTAAATGTGCTAGTCATTGCCATTAGTTTCTCCAAACAGCGGTTAAATCACTATACTGTTCAGTGTTCACTGGATATTAGTGTAAAGCTGCAAATTGTATTATGATATTTTAACATTGCCATATTATTTTCTGAAACTCCTTTTCCTTTCCTGTCATATCAGTGTACTATTTTGAGACCAAAATATATTCTTTTACATATAAAATGTTCAAGCTTTTTATGAAAAAACACGACAGGCCTGCAGTTTGGGCCATAACTTCCATTGTCCGAAAAGAGAAGATTGACTGTCAATCTTCATTGCTTGGTTGTTCTCTAATCCCGGCTTGTGAAGATCATCATCAGGAAAAAGAGTGGGGATCTTTCCTAGAATTCCTGCAGAAGTATGAAAGGGTAAGATCATAGTGTTCCATAATTCCTTTTACCTAAAGAAAAGGGCAATGCGTCATTAAAGCTGACGTTAATGAATTTAACTATTATGCTTTTCTCACTTTAATTTCTTGGGGGTGGGGTGGGTGGTGAGCCGAGAAGTTTTTTGTGCCGATGGAGAAGCCTAAATAGCTCACTAACTATAATCTCCAGCTATTTGCCAAATAAAATGAAACTTGGTTGTGGATTGATTACGGCGAGAATGTAGACATAAAATTTAAAAACGATTAGCAAATAGCTTGTTATGTTCTCTCTTATTTCGAATTGTTTCAAGCAAATGTGTTTTTCCAATGTCTTTGCGCAGAGTATAAAATCTCCTTTTGTGTTCCTTCTGTATATTCTTGGTAGATGTAATCATGTTAAAAAATAAAATAGTATGTTCTGATATCTCTAATGCATTCAATTCCTGAAGGCTGCTGTATCAAAGCTGGGATTGCATGAAGTGTACATACTTCCCTGCAGCAAAGATTCAAAACGTGGCTTCGCAACTGTTCTATACAAAGAGAAAGTGCCAAACTTGTCTCCTAGTCAAAAGTGTGATGCATTGGGTATGTTTTATTATTTATCCCTACCCACAGCATGCATGGCCTATATTATCTTCCTAATGTTTACATTATATTACGGCAAGATTGTGTTTAATCGTTTTTAGAAACGAGTTCCTAGTTTGGCAAGAATTCTTTCCCAATTTCTGTAGAACTATAGAAGAAGCATCACAACCAACTATTAGTATTGTAGCCTGACATTCTTCTCTTTTCCCTTCAGCAGAAATTGTTGCTTTTGAAACATCATCTCCACCCAAAATTATTGCTGGTGAGGCTGCTATGTCAAATTCTGACCTCATTGATAGAATTTCTCCTGAGCAACGATATCCAGAAGTAAATGGAGGTTACTCTTGTGATTTGAAACCTAAAGAACAAAGCAGATCCTCTGATAGAAATTTTGTGGTAGCACATCCAAGCTATCTCAAAACCCTTGGTCAAGCACATTCCTGCTGGATATTTGGTGCAATTGCCGAGCTTGTTGACAATTCAAGAGATGCCAAAGCAACCAAGTAGGTCTACATGGTCCTTTCATTTAGTTGATTGCGTGTTTCTGAACCTGTCTTGGTGAACAACAATGACATCTGATTGTTGTCTTTTGCCTTTTTGGTAGATTGGAAGTGGCTATTAGTATGATTTATTCCAAGATTTCTGGCAAAGATATTCCTATGTTGTCAGTAATAGATGATGGTCGTGGAATGAGCCACACAGATATCTACAGAATGATATCATTTGGCCATGGGCAATCGGAAGCTGATGATCCTGATCATATAGGAAGATATGGAATTGGATTTAAGGTACTTTCTAATTCATCTTGTTTCTTTAGTGCTTGAGTTGATAACTTGATACCCCTACAAGTTTTGTGATTTTTCTTGACGACTCAAAAATTAGTGCAACAATTTTTAGATGAACTACTTTTTGACTATTTTTTAACAAACAACTTCTATAATTTATGTTTGAACATGCTAGTGATGTACAGCTAAAATCGTGTGTTATAGTATACATTTTTTTGTGATTTTACTTGTCTATTAAAAATTAGTGAAACAATTTTTAGATGAACGTTTTCTTGACTAGTATGAATAAACGCCTTCTATACTATATATTTATGTATTATAAAATATTAAAAAATGATTTGAACATGCAAATGATTTTTGGCACAAATCGTGTGCTATATACATTTTTTGTGATTTTGCTTGATGATTCAAAAATTAGTGAAACGATTTTTAGATCAACTATTTATTGACTAATTATGAATAAACATTTTCTATACTATATATTTGTGTGTTAAAATATTGAAAAATGAGTTAACCATCCAAATGATTTTATTATGTGCATGTACAACACATATAAAATAAATATTTGTGCACATATACATATTTCAAATTATGCATTATATTTGTTGCAAGTCTTGGTATCTGATGTAAGTGTGCGACTCAAATTGTGATTAACAAGAGAAACCTTTTGACCTTGGATATTGTATTTTCAGACTGGGGCGATGCGACTAGGTAAGGATGCGTTGGTTCTAACCCAGACTGCTAATTCCAGATCAATTGCATTTCTATCACAGTCACTGAATGAAGGAAAAGATGTATGTCACAACTTCCAATCAGGTCTCTATGCAATTTAATCTAAAGAATGGCATGTTCTTAATTAAAATAGTATTACCGACTGCAGAATTTGGAGATCCCCATTGTGAGCTACCGAAGAATTGGGCAGTATATGGAAGTGGATACAAGTGTCCACAACGAGGATTCTGCAAAGTACAACTTGAAAACCATTAAAAGATTCTCTCCATTTGATAAATACCTTATAGGTGAAAAAACAGGCATATTCAAAGAAAATGGCACTGGAACACAAATTTACATATGGAATTTAGATGAATGGGGATCAGCTTATAGCTTGCAATGGGAAGCTGGGATGGCTGGCGGGAGTTCCTTTCACCACGGCGGAATATTCATACGTTCGAAAAGGATAAGATCTCGTCCTGGACAAATGTCTCACACGGTGCTTGTCTACTTCTGATAGCATTTCATACGAGTTGTTCATACACATACTAAGTTTCTCTTTCTTTGAAATCCAGGTGCCTTTGGACTATTCTCTTAAATCGTATTTGGAGGTTATCTTCCTTGATCCACGGATGAAGATCTATGTACAAGGAGCTTTGGTAAATATAGATAAGTGTGTGTGTGTGTGTGTGTGTGTGTGTGTGTGTGTGTGTGTGTGTGTGTGTGTCTCCATATTTCCCTAGATCCTTTTCCTCTAGTAGACATGTCTTGGTAGTTCAAAGTATGTAATCATTAATCAATAAAAGAAAGGCATACATCTGACTCTTGGGCTCTTCAGCACTCTTATTTAAATGGATTAGGCCTCACATCTACCTCTTCATTCCTTTGCAGTCTCTTAAAGATTGAAATTCATTGTTGATGCAAAATTCTTATAGGTTAAAAGTCGACCCCTAGCAAAATCTTTGAACAAGACAGTTGTTGAAAATGGTAAAGTCTTGGGAAAATCAATTCAACTTACTCTTGGCCGCTCTCAATTGGAATGGGAGCAAGCAAATTGTGGCATATTTTTATATTGGCACGGGCGTCTGATTGAGGTGACGATTCATTTTTATTGCTTTTCTGCACAAGCATGATACAAAGAAAAGCAACGTATTGACTACAAAATATACGTTGCTGCTGCTGTGTATAATCACATCCAGTGTTTGATTGTCCTGGTGGAAGTTCCTATAGTTTTGTCTCCTTATACGTTCTTTTTGTTACTTCATTACAGGCATACAAGAGAGTTGGAAGCATAATCCATAATGGGGATTGCGGGCGTGGCATCATTGGCGTGATTGATGTTACTCCTTTAATGGTAAACTTGCTGAAACTAAGACCCGACCTTTTCACTCATTCATTTTCTTTGAATTTTGTGATGATATGAAACAAATGTATGTCTTCATAAAATGAGGATCCCTCTTATAATGCTAGAATGAGTAGACTCTAACTTTTGGCTTTCATGGTAATCCTGTTGCACCTTATATGAATAAACACGGTCTGATTCTACTGCACCCTTGTCTCTATTCTGCTCTTATGATAGGATGATAGCAATGGTCAGGTTTGGGTACACAATAACAAGCAAGGGTTTCAGGACTGCGAAGCCTATGCTGAACTGGAGAATTGGCTGGGTAAAAAGGTGGATGAATATCTCGACAAATATGTTGATAAGATTCAAGTGGTATTCCTTTTCACTCCCTATATAACCATTGTATTCTCCAACACAATTATTTCGTCTTGGTCTACCAAGGGGCTGAAAGAATTACCTCTCTAATTTAAGCATTACTAATATATTTTCTTACCTTTATATGGTACTTTATTTACCCAAGCTTGCTGTTCCTTTTAGGATATCAACAAGTAATTTTAATAATAAATTTAACTGATTGATTACTGATCTTTCTAAAGAGAGTTGTCGCTGTGGCAAGATATGATTAAGATAAAGAGATTTTTTTTCCTAGAAGTTCAGACTACCCTCCTCAATTGTTGAGGCAGAGTATATCTTTCTTGAAATACGGTTCACAAACTCGTAAACATGTCTAAGAAAATGTATCAAATGATAAAATGCAAGTCACATATTTTCTGTTAACATGTATGCTGATGGTCTTCAAGTGATGCAAGTACGCCCTACCGTGGATGGGTGTTTTACCATTATACTCTTGATGATTTAAAGAATTGTGTTTAGACATTACTTTGGCTAGTCACTAGTGCCAACGTCTATTTGTGGAGCGATAGTGATATTTTGACGGAGGAAAACTGGAAAAGATGCAATACCTAGCTTTACATATACCTTAACACGTAACTATAACTCCGTACAGTTTGAATCCGCGAATAGTGAATCATTTTTTGGGTGTATATTATAAAAGACCCTTTTCAGTCTAATCTATCTTGGCTATTTCAAAGTAATATTCTCAGATGACATGAATTCTGTCTCTTATGCAGAAAAAGGGTAATACCCAATATAAACCTGATCATGAGTGGGTGCAGTGCGACAAATGCAGAAAGTGGAGGATGTTAAGCTCAGACTTTGACAGCAAGACATTACCTCTAGAATGGTAATCTATCTTTTTCCTTATCCTATTTTCGGTTATACAGACTAATAAATTGATGTCTTTAGTGTCATTGAGTTTTATCGTAGTTAGTATCTATAATGCATGTTTATGATTGAGATTTTTATAGCTTAGCAGCTTATGATTGAGATTTTTATGCAAGTAGCACAATTGATTTTGCCCTTCTTGTCATTTCATTTATTCTTCAAAGACTACTGTGGTTTCGATACGTAACCCTTATCTTTGTTTCAGTAATTGGAATGTATATTTATATATCTCAAAAACAGATAATCAACGATTTGAAAACATACATCTCACTATTGGCAATTACAATAGATACAGCATCTCAATTTCTGGTTTCCATTAGAGTTGGTGTTTTGGTTTTAGGTTCTGTTTTATGAAGCCCTTCAATGGAAGATGCGAAATTCCTGAGGAAGAGGTCGGAAGTGGACTGATCACAATATCGACCAAGCGTAACGGTTACAGCATCAAAGAACCATCCGAATCAAGAAATAGTCTTCCTGAAAAAGCAACTAGTCAATCCGAAGGTTCGTCTTGTTACATATGTCTATATTCATGTATATGTATTTATATTTACATTCTTAATATAAATTAATTTGGTTTAACTGTAGAAATTTGTGACGGAAAGTTAAGTGAACCGGATGAAGATGATGTTCGGTTATCGAAGAGGCAAAGAACCCGTGCAACGAGGAGCTGTTATGATGAGAAATCAAATGAAACCGAAGAAGATGATGATGAATTGTTGGCCTTCATGCGCGTAAGGTCCCGTCTTCCTAGGAGCTGTAAGAAGAGTTGACACTACCCGTACAAGTTCGTCTAACCTAGCCTAACTAATAGTTTTTACCCAACTTTGAAATTGTATATGGCAACGGGTATTCGTATTTCGGCTTCTTTTTAGGGGTGTCGATGGGTTTTGAAATTCTTGCGAGTAATCAGTGCAATCAATCATTTTTCGGTAAATAGCACTTATTGAATTGTTAAACACTGTAGTACTTAATCTCAGATTTCGAAAGGACAGAAAGTATTATTAGCCAATATAAATATATGTATATATAGTATATACTCGAACCTAACCGAAACCAAACTGAAATCGAAACCGAAACTGAAACTACATTTATTAGGATTTTATTTCTTTATTCTTCGCATTTTGATTACTGTTTATTCCCAAATGAGTTGATGGGCTAATGAAGTCCAATTACTCCAAATGCTACGAGTGATACGAAATAAAGATGTCTAAGCCCTAATTTTATTAACCTTAATTTAATTCTAATTTTATTTTTTATTTTATTTTAATAAGTAAAGGAGCCCTAGTTTAAAATTCAAAAATCAACACATTTTAGATTTTACGAAAGAAAATCATTTGTAAAATAAAGTATAAAAGACTTTCCCCCATCCACAACCGGACACTTTGGCACCATAAAAACAGACTCTTATCAGCTCTATCCTCAACAACAATCTAGAGAGAGAGAAAAAATGTCAGTATCAGCAATATTTGGTTCAAGGGTGGTGCTTCCACCTTCCTCCGCCGCCGTCGCAACGAAGGCAATAGCACCGCCGCAGAGACTAGCGGTGGGCGGCGGACATGGTGGCACAGGTTTGGTGATTGAGTGCTCGTCCAGGCCACAGAAGAAGGGAACTAAGCATCACATGAAGACCCGCCCTCGTAAAACTCGCCTCTCCGACATACGACGTGCTCCCACCAACTACCCTCCGCTTCCCCCTCTCCCATCGGAATGGAGTCTGGTCTCCGATGCCACTGCCGCCGCCGCCGCCGCCGCCGCTCCGCCGCAGCCTGTCCAGCCTGAGTAATTCTTAGTGTTTGCCCATAATTTTATCTTGTTATGATGATGAATTGTTTGTTTTTGTCCGCAATTTCAATCTTTTTTTTGTTAATTTGGAAGATGAAGGCTGTATTTTGACTCTCTAAAAAACTGTGGTTCTGTTGGATTGAGAATGGAGTTGAATTTTCAGGATAATTAATCCCAGTCGATTTTGCTAAGTTGAATTAGGATAAGGTTATTTATTATTAGGTTATCTGTTAATTCACTGAAAGGGAAATTATGTACGCCTGCTCAAAGTACTTTTTACACTATGTACACACCTGTAAAATGTAGGCATTATACTGATGAAGTTAAATTGGAATAACGTGGATCAAACCATATAAGATCTTACCGGTAAAATTCGCCTGTTTAAGCTCGAGTTTTAATCTTTTCTATCAATATGTAATCATCCACACCATACATGTGTGTGTGTGTGTGAGAGAGAGAGAGAGAGAGAGAGAGAGAATCCAGACTAACGGGATTAGCGAAAATGGACGATAAAAAAAATGTGAATTAGTCGGGCAGGAGAGATTTGTACATGTTTAACCAGGAGGTATATACAAAAGTCAACTAAGTGACAACAAAATGTTTTTGTGCAGAAAGGTTCGGTTCGTACATGAAAACTAGCAATATTCAGAAAGGGAATATGAACAGGAAAAAAAAAAAAAGGGCTTTCTCCCAAGATCACGAATCAGACTTGTTCCAGACGATTAATTGCCTCCGAAACAGTAAAAAGTTATTGCAACGGCATATAGAATCGGGCTATGCTTTAGCCTCCAGTGCGAAATGGTGCATTGTGATACAATCCAGGATCCTGCCCGTTTGTTTTCTTCTGTTTTGCCGAGTTTCACTTCACGTGACATCATAAGCTTCGTCGGGCTTTGCCTCTCTCTATTTGCTTTTTACCAGGCTCAGTAGGAAATCTGTGAATATATGCTCATATTCTGGCATTTTCCCGTAACCTGGAAAATTGATCAATTGTGTTAATGACACACAAAAAGTTAATTACTAATTGGATGAATAGGGCAATGGCATACCTGGAAAATAGTTAATATCTATGACATAATAGCGGTCTCGACTTCCATGCTCACGAATTATATCCAAGTTGAACAGACGGAGACCCTATTAAAACATCATCAAATACAACAATCAATAAAACAACCTAGATAGAGACACGAAACATACTTCAAATATTTCAGGAAAACGGGAAGGCGTACCAATCGTCGCCGCAGTTCCCTAGCCAGTCTTTCGAGTAACGGTCGTGGCGGAAGCTCTGCAGGTGGGAGAAAACAAATTAAAAATATAAGATCCCTTCGAAAATTATTTTGCAGTACACAGAAATCAATCTAGCGAAGCTCAAAGAAACAAAATTGCAATTAAAAACATCGATGTGCTGATTTAGTATAATAAGCTCACCACAACACAAGGATCGAGTGTGCTTCGTCAGCAGATGCAGCAGCACAAGACACTCTAGAAATCGATAAACCCACACTCTTTGATAGTTCGCGTTGCTGACATCGGGCAAGGAGAATCGCCTCACCACCTTTATCGCTTCACCGACAATGTAAACTTTGAAGAGCACACCTCCTACACACCAATACAAAAAAATTTAATGAAAAAAACCACACCGAAAAAAGGTGCTGAAGAAAACACAGACTGTGTTTGTTTGAGTACCGTGATTGATGAATTCCTGCAAAACAAGTGGGGGCTCCAGCTTCTGGAGGGAGAACTCGTCATAGGCGAGAGACAGCTCATGTGACTTTGCAACCAAAGGCTTTGCCACTAAAGTATATAATACAAACAATAATGCCTGAATCAGGTTATAACATTCAAGAAACACGAAATCATCGGATGAAAGAACAATTGAAATTTTCCTTCGTTCATACCTAGAGGTAACCTAAGCCCAGCTTTGTTCACTGCACGATGAATCGACGATGGATCTTTCTCGATAACCAACTGTTTTGGGACACCAACTGTTCCTGCAAACCAGATATATGATAAACCATCAGTTCTTTAAAGCTCGTATTAAAGGATTCTCAACCAGGTTCATCATATTTCTGACAGATAAACCTCAACCAAGAGAATAAAAAAAGATTAAAAAAAGACCATATATCAATTTAAGGGGCTATCCAAGCAAAATTACCATAGGGGTCTGACAGATTAAGATCGGCAACGTCTTGAAGCATAGACTGCCGATTGTACACTTGTTGTATGGCATCGGGAGGATCAAGAACTGTGACCTCGGGGTGCGCATTCCGGTAATCCTTCAATAGATGTAAAAAAATAAATAATATGAGAGGGCATAGAATAACGTGTACATGTTCATAAATCAATCTCAAATCCACTAACACACAAAAGCCAATATTATGTAAAAATTATGTACATGGAAAAAACTATTCTGAAAATTTATAAAATGTCTCGGAATCTCAAGATATATTGAATGTTGAGTATATAAATTTCTTCGAATTTTCAATTCTCAAACAGATATACTGAGCATAATAGATGTCATTTCAGAATTGAAACATCAACACTCATTAACACACACTAGCTAATTGCAATCTCGTGTTTTCACACAATCTCAATACATCTTCAAGCCTCGTGTTTTACATTTTTTTTAAAGTTTCTAACAACAAATCATTTTCCACAAGCCAAAACTATAAAATTAGCATAGCAGGCGCTAAAGAGCCCAATAACCAGTAACCAAATCAAAAGGTACCATGAAGAAAAAATACAAAATATACAATGCCCTCAGAAATTTGAAGTCACTGACAGTCATTAATATAAATGCAGAAATTAAAACTAACTAACCTCAAGTACTCTTCGCCATTCCTTTCCAGATAACTGCAACAAAGACGAAAAAATAAAAAATACATTAGTGCAGTGCGGGCAGTTATATATTTCAGGGTAACCAAAAACCAATAGAAACGAAGAAAGGGTAGAAAACTTTAAAGCAATTCACCTTGTGTAACACAATGTCGAAAGGACCTTGATCTGAAAGGGGTCTGCTTTGATCAATAGCAACAAACAAAATTCCCTTATTCCTGCAAATACATAATATTAGCAACCGACGATTGCTAAGTAACGGCTCGACTGCAAAAGTCTAAACAGTCGTTAAAGCTAGGAATATTCTATGGGAATAAGAATAATTATATTACAGTGTATCTATCTCCCCTTTGAAGACCAATTCAGGTCAAAACATGCCGAAAGCGAAGGTCAAACGACCTGTAGAAATCCTTTGGCACAAACGCAGACCAAAAATAGTTGAATTAACAATCGGAAACTATTTACATCTCAAAAATTTGATAGTCAGAATTGTCAAGACGGATTCAACAGTGATAAACTCAACTCTCACCTAAATTAAATAATCAAAACAAAGACGTAAACAAGTACACTGAGCCCTAAAAGACACGATTGAAAGTGACAAGGAACACATAAATTAACTGCTGAAATTTCTTTGTTACACATCGTTTTAAACCACTAAAATATTTGTGAAGTTTGTCACATACGAACTGTTCTGTTCTTGTGTTGGCCACACCACATAAAGCATATTCCCAGGAGAATATTCATAATTTTTTTTTTTTTTAAATTGCAAATCTCAAGAAATTGTATTCCCTCACTACTAATATACAACTCCCCCCCTCTTGTACCAGTTGTCTACAAAATAGAAAAATAATGAAATACTAAAAAAAATAAAAAATAAATAAACACTTTTCATCTGAAAAAATCACGACTCATGGATCCAGCAAAAAACAGAGAAATTCATACTCATATATACCTAAACCCCCAAATTCGGTTTGAGAATCACCCAACCATCATAATTTTGTTTGATTCAATCCCAGATTTGTGATAATTAGCATGAAAATATGAAAGTAAAATTAAAAAAATTAAATACCTAGCTAGGCGTTCAAATTTGGGCTGCAAAAAGCTCTTGATCTTCTTAGAAGTAAGAGCATATCCCACAACCACCACTTTCATCGCCGGCGGAAACCCACCGCCCACCATCGCCGCCGTGTATTTCCTCTGCGCCGACATCATTTTCTCTTCCACCTCCTCTTCCTTCTCTTCCTCTTTTCTATACGCTATTTCTCCTATCATCCTCTTCCCTCAAATCTTATTCCTACCTATGTATGTATATATATGTGTGTGTATATATATGTGTGTTAACCCTTGTTCAAACACTTTCAGAAGGCAAATTCAGTCACCTTTAATCAACAAAGCAAAACTTTCCTGCTTTAATTCCTAAATTCCGCTAATTTCCGTTCACTCTACGGAAAGAATTTCACGAATTTGGTCCAAAACGCAGCGTCGGTTCGGATTTTTTCTCTCTTTTTTTGAGGAGAATACGGCTGGAATTAGAGCGAGAAATTGTAGAGAGAGAAAGAAACAAATATATATTTTGTGCATGCCATATATATATATAAGAGGAGAGAGAAAAATAGAGAGAGAAAAAATAGAGATTAGCTGGAGATTTAAATACTAGGTCTAGGTATCATAAAAGCATAAGTGTAACGCGTGGAACCAAGGACGTTATATACACACACACACACATGAATTATACGTATAGCACCGTGTATGTATATATATATATATATATATATACACACACCGGAGTTCATGGAGGCTGGACCGCTGGAGTCTATGTTAAGCAGCTGAGGTTTTGGAACCACTTGCCATTTTTTACTAACAATTATTTTATTATTATTATTATTATCAATAATTAATTCGTCACACACATCTTTAGTGATTGAATTTGTATTTATTAATTCATGGTACTCTCATTATTTTGATGTAATTGCATTAAAAAAGGAATAAATCTACGTAATTGTTTTGACGCCGAATATATCAAGACCTCACAACTTATTATTATTTTATTTGGTATTTTGTGCTATTTAGGAAATTAAATATTTTCATTTAAATTTTGTAGCGTATGCATACATCACTTAGATATTTTATTTATTTGGCTCTGTATATGAATATTATAATAATAATAATAATAATAATAAAAGAAATATGAAATTGTAGTGGTTTAGTACTATTTTGGGGTCCATTGATTCATCACGAGCCATCCATATCACAAGTGGCATTCGTCTTCTAACCACGACATATATTAAATTAAATATATATATATATATATAACTAATTAAAAAAAATTGTGAAAACAAAAAAAAAACTAATAAAAAAACATGACCTAGAATTAAGATAAGTGAATATCCAATGTGATAAGGATATGTGATGATGTGTTGCATGTCATGGCAAAGACATACATACTCCATGACAGTGAGTCATCACACAAGTGTATATTAATGTAATCAAATTAATTTAATATGATTAATTGATTGTCTACGTGGTATATATGACATGCATTGATCTAAGTATATATCTTTTGCATATCATTTTTTTTTATATCTTTCAAATATAGCTGGATATTTGATTTATTTATTCACAATGCGCTTTATACTAATTAATACGTGTAAATAGTCATGTAAGAGATGACTTAGTGTTTGGAGCAAATTTTTTTTTTTCAAATTCAAGTTCGATCTAATTGCCAATTAGGTCAAACTTATTAAACACGATGCCTACTGAGGTTGGTTTACATCTCTGGTTTAAATTTTGGAAGATTCACAATCGTAAATGTGTCTTTGACTAAGCAAAACAGAACCATTTGCAATTATTGCCTGACCCTTGTGGTCAAGGTCAACTGACTATTAATTTTATTTTCTCATAATATTTTCTTATTTGGAAATTATTAATTGTGTTAACAAAATTGCTAACGTTATTCAAATTTATTGGTCGGTGAGATTAAAGGTCTTAATTAGCAGGTAAAAAGCAGGACGAGTGGGCCTCCAATAAAATTTAAAAAATAAAAAAAATATATTGTATTTTTTTTTTTTATATAGAATGTAATGAATGTTGTGCGTAATATATACATTTGTTATATTTGGAAGGCAAGTTGATATGATATGAAGGAAATATAATATTCGATTCTCACCAGATTCTAGCTCCTCGCGATATTGAAGAGGGGAAATAAATTAAAAATTAAATATCCACTCAATTAATTTATATTTTTAAGAGAACTCAATACTCATACTCATAGGGGCTTAGATTACGACCACTCATCAACTAATGTTAAATTAAAAAAAAATATCTCTTGTTTGTTTTGTTTGAGTAATTAGAACTACAATCAACTATATATTTCTTACAAAAATACCCTTTATTGAGTATGTAAATTTGACACCGCGAGTGGACGCATGTAATTGTAATTACTAAAAAAATGAGGGGGTTTTCTTAATTGCTTTCCCTCAAGGGTTTAATTTCTTACAAATTATATGACAGTTCCAAAAGAAATTCAATAGATGAAAAACCCAAATTATCAATCATAATTATAACCCCAAAAATGCTGGAAAATTCCATGCGACACTCATTTTCATGGAACATTGCATCACCAAACATATCTATGTGGAATTAGATTCTATTGCAAAAACTTTACCAAAAGCCTAAAAAAGAAAGAAAGAAAAAAAACAGGACAGAATCCCACTACAACAAATAATTGCATACTAGCATTCCTAAAAGCTAAATTGGTCTAAAGAAGCTGAATTTTGAAGTGGGCCCCACAAGTGAAATTGATCTCGTGAGTTTTGCATATGTCAACACTAATTGGCAGCAGTTGGTCACGGGCCAATTCTAGATCATTTTACAGATGCTACACCCAGTGAAATACACCGAGTAATCACGCACAATTGATATACTTAGTACAGATCTATATCGCAAAAAAACCCGATGCATTCCACCAGGTTGACAAGGTCAGTGTGAAAGCAGTCCTACTTTCACAGAGTCTCTTTACTTTAGGGAAAGGCCAATATCAATATCACTGAAAGCAACATGATATAATAGCCCACTACTTGAAACCTTCGTCGTCGTCATTTTCTCAAACAATTTTTTTAACATGTCCAAAATGAAATGTCAAATGACAACATCAACTTATTAATAATCCATGGGGTTGACATAAATCGTGAAACACGTGGACACTATTTCAAATAGCATATTTTGCTCTAAACCATACAAAATACTTTAATATTTACTATATCTTCTTTAATTTATTCGTTTCTTTTTTGCACCGGCCAAGTGGGTGGACAGCGTTTGTGAATGATGTTTCATACATAGATATTTTCACATGGCCTTCCATTTATCACCTCATAATATTGGAAAGATAATCGATACAGCAAACAGATTGGAATCATATCCAAATACGTTAATAAAAAGAAGAAAAATAAATCGGAAGAATTATATACGAATGCATATTAAATTTGGCGTTACCCCAGACCAAATTCATATATGGAAACTCGACCCAGCCAAATTTCTTAGTTCGAGGCCAAACTCCTCAAACGAAACACAAACCCTAGCAAAGTTGTCCGTGATTAAGTCAGGCCAAAAAGTATATAATTTTCGATTTCCAAATTTAGAAGAACGATTAAATCTAAAACCAACTTCAATCATTTTTCTTATCTTGGAAGCTTACCCAAACATGGCTCATAAGCTGGGCTCAGCCCATCAAGGCCCAAACCGCTTAGCTGATGACAGAATATGCCCAAATAGCACGGTTTTTACAGGTGATTGCGCATACTGAACCGTCATCTGTAAAAGCCAAAACACGAAAGAGGAGATAATCAGGTTGTAAGAATAAAGATCTCGTTCACCATTTCCGAAGTCATTTGTGCTACTTCCACTAAAAAGGAGCTGCTCCATTGCATCATTCGTGAAGGATATAATTTAACATGCACACTGAAAAGAGTTTCCACTGATCCTCAAAACATCAAAACAAACCTGAAGTACGTCACTTGGTACTTGGATCTCAACTCATCCCTTGTCCCTGTAATCTTCTCGAAAAGCTTTTCATGTCATATATATATATATATATATATATATATATATATATATATATATATATATATATATATATATATATATATACACACACACACACATATACGAACAACAAAAATTAGGCAACTTCGGAAATAAACCTACTTTCCATTTCATGTCAACCGCACTTTTATTTGATCATTTAGTTCAAGACAGCAAAGCGCACATAACATAAATATCGTGCAATGAATTACCTAAACCAGGTAGAGAAAGATGACACAAGGGTGTGCAGTAGATAGGCTTTTCCTCTCTACTAGATGTCAAAAAATCTGCACAGCATGATTGAATTTGATATTTTCCAAACGTTTTGAGGGTCTTGTCCAGTTGTCCTGCATTTCATTCTCCGTCTTGCATGTTTATCAGCATGTTAAAATCATCAAAGTGAGAAAGTATAAGATTTCTGTATTATGAACCATCAAATACGCGACGTCAGCAAATCCTCATAAACAATGTTCAACCAGCTGTTCGCCCAAAATGGAAAGACCACTTCTCATTTAGAAGGAAGTGAATCTGAATTCTTTGTATGCCTTTGTCAAAATTCAAAAATCAGATGGCAGAAAAAGGACGGAGAATTAAAAAATAATAAGAATTGGATACTGTGTCATCTATTTGCATATATAAATATATATGCACTTGCCTCACACTAGTGGCTTCACCACACGAAAAATCAGGTAAGGGAAAAACAGAAAAAGATAAATGTTAAATATGGAGCCTTCCAAAAATCCTGTTAGTGAGTCAACATATGAATGGATATTCTAGAATGTACCATACAAATATGAGAATTTATGGAAGGTTCTAGAATATCGGTGGACAGAGTTCTAGACTATTGGTGGACGCAAGTTTCCAAAAAATTGGTGTGTTAAATTTTTTATAGTTCTTGAAGAACTATGTTTAATGGGAACACAGAAATCTGTGGAACTTCTAAAAACCTAGAAGCTAACACAATAGATACCTAAAATATATGCTTTACGCATATTCTTGGAGAGAGTACGAAACCCTATTAATTGTGAGCTATCCTTTCTGTAATTAGGTCTTCTTGGCTGTTTTTTACACGTACATTGACACGTCATAACAAACTTGGAGCACCAATAAGATTACACTTGTCAGCATATGAGCTTATTAACCCAGAAAAGGGAACTGAAAAAAATACGGGACAAACGAGAATCTTTTTAACGGAACTATATATTAATACAACAGTCATGAAAGCTAATAAGTTCAAAGTCTAACTTTTATCTATCTTTCATTCCGAACTACCACGAGAATGAAATCGGAAAAAAACAAAAAAGTATATAAAATCTACCTCAAACTTCAGCTTAAACTATCATTGATTTCAAACGAGAACGAAACAAATAAGTCATAAAACCAAGTTCCTAATTGCAAGGTTTCTTCTGTAAATCTCTGACGGACACGACACGAAAAGTTTTCTCCCTTACAATTAAAAACCAATAAGGACAAGAAAAACTTATTCTCAGCCACGGATTTCTTGAATGGTTGAGCGCAATTTGTCATCCCCAACAACTAATCGTAATTTTTTCATGAAAATATCCTTTCCCAACTTCCCTTCCTGCCAAATAAATAGTAAAAACTAAAATAAATAAACCACATAATATCAACTAAACCTAATTACCAGTTTCGTAACCCGCATAGGAACGGAAATTGCTCACCTTACACGAACCCCATGAGGTTACCAATTCTTGAAATTGGGGTAGAGGAAGAGAACCTTTCAACTTGGATAACAATTTTGCAATAAACATGGATGGATGCGGAATGCAATTCGTAGTAGGCTTCACCGACCCTGTAATATTTTACAAAACCTCAATTCCATAAGATGCCAATTTTTTTTTTTTGTTTTTGCATGAAAATTAATGCATATCAAGAAAGCTAATTTATTGGACAATATAGTACCAGGCCTGTAACTGACAACACACTCGGGAAGAATATGAGTATTCATGTTCGTATGCCACACAGTATACCACTGAGGATTATTCAAGTCATCAACACCAGTATCATACTCTGCACTCGAAGGATACAGCTGGCGTGACCCTGCTTCAATCTTTTCGCGTTTTCCCAATATCAGTCTGCACAATATTACATGCTTCTCGCCATTCTCATCGATCTCTGACATCATTGCACTGTACCACATATCCCACATTGGAAAAAGATTATAATCGCGCATACTAAAACCAAAATAAAGTAGATAAACAACTACGACACGCAATCAAGGATAGAACACCTGTTAATGGGGGATCGTATAGGAGATAAGTGAACTCCAATTCCATGACCTTCATGATGAGACGTCTTGTTAGGTATTCCGAATCCATGCAGCAAAATGCTTTCCACACCTTTTGCCGAAGTGCCATACCATGCAAAAACCATGTTACTTTCCCCTCTAGCTCGTTTCGTAATCTCCATTTGCTTTGCGAAAACCTCCGAACGTGCCTTATCCATGGGCCCCGCACGTACGCATTTATGAATAGAGGTAACTACAGCACCTGGTTCCGCAATCTCCAACCCTGACAGAAACAAATTCTTAACTATCGAATATCCTGTCTCCTCAGATCCGAGAATTCTCGCTTTCGGCCACCTGGTCGACTGAGATTCGCTCCCAATCACTTGCCTCTTTTTCGCATTATTGCTGGACAGACTTCCCTTCTCTACATTCTCCTCTCTCTTCCTCTTACTAACAACATTTACAATTCTACTATTCACCTTCTGACCTTCAGAACTTCCTAAATTTTCTTCAATTTCGATATCAATCTGAACTTTCGTGCAGTTTTCATCACAATTCGCAACATCATCATCATCAACACCACGGTCATTTCCATAACTGCTGACGAAAGATTTGGGGAAAAAACACTTACCATCGACATCAATCCAGGAAATGGAGCGCTGATTGCCAGTATCCAGATCAATCTGGAGCATGCGGTAAAAGTCAAAGAAACAATTGAACCCCAGGACTTGAGTCTCGACAATTGGCTTACCCTCCACAAACCCTAATTTCATCATTTCCGAAACTTCCTTCGGGTAATCGACCCACGATCCGTCGTCGTAGAACATGAACCGGCCCGGGCACGACGACCGCTTGAAGTTCGAATAATTCTGGATCAGCGGTTCACACGACGGTTGCTTAGCAGGTCGTGGACCGAACCGCTTCACTTTGTTGTTCCCCTCGGCGCACTTCTTCGTCATCATCTGGGCGGAATTCAAGGAATCCATTGCTGTACAATCTGAGAAGCTCCTGGTACAAATCTGTCGATTTAATAATTCAGCAAGAACTTCTGAGGAGAGAGAAATAGATGCAGGCGCTGTATCTATAGATGGGCACTGTACAGGTCGGTTAAAAAATTAAAAAGACGGTATTGCCCCTGGGCTTATAATTACTTGATGACGAAGAAAATATAATATTTTATTTTAATGAAGGGGTTTAATGGGCTGGAATAGGGTTACTTCAGCCCAAAGAAAAGTTTAAATATATGTTTAATGGTATATATAAAAAAAAAGTCAACAATTTCGACTTATTCTTTATTCCATTCCAACTTTGCAACTCACGGCTGAAGTTGCTTGATTCTTTTGCTATTTGATTTTAAAAGTTTACTTGAGTTATAGTAAAAATGACTATTACAATCACCATGTTGTCGGGCCCGGATCCGACCGATTCAACCACGATACGGCAATGAGGCGGTCCGATCTGACCTCTAAAATTGAAAATTTAAAAATTGAGGTCAAGTGACTAAAACCCGATTCGATCGAGTAAAACATGTATACCGACAAACCGATAAAAGATCCCAATTTGTAGCCAAAACAGCTCAAATCCACCGGCATAATCGGTTATTTGTGAATGGGTACGAGCGAGCCTTCACGGAATTAGTTGTGAAAGACAAGATCTGATCATAGGTGGTTGAATAGGAGTGGCAGATTGACGGGTCCGATTATGAGTAGTCAATTACGGGTGGCAAATTGCCAGATGTGGGGAAGAAAGATGGCAAAATATATAGTGAAAACAAAAGAAATATAGTAAAAATTAAAAAAAATGGGATGAGACGGATAAAAGTAAAAATAATAAGAGAAATATTAAAAAATATAATAAAATTATAAAAATAATTAAATCAAAAATCCGGTTGAACCGATTATATTAAATAATAAATAATATTATATTTATTTAATGATATTCGGTTATAGATGGTGCATAAGTTTTTCTTCTTTCTTTGTACTTTCAAATGCTATATTCTAGCACTCATCAAAAAGAAGAACAAAAAAAAGAGAGGCAAATAAAATAAAAAAACGTTTATTTAATCGTTGTTCAAATCTTTAGGCACGAGATTAATGGAGAGAGAAACACTATCACAAATCATATTTAATGTGTATAAGTTGCCCACTAGTCTAATTTTATTTTATATTGTTAATATTCGTGTGTGTGAAATTTATTAAACAAAATACGAATGAAATTAGGATTAAGATAGA